TCTCAAAGAAGACTCTTCTTCTTTGGTGGTGATGAACTCCTTTAGCTTTTCTTTGTCTGAGAAGCTCTTTATCTGACCTTCAGTTCTAACTGATAGCTTTGCTGGGTAGAGTAATCTTGGTTGTAGTTTCCTGCTTTTCATCACTTTGAATATTTGTTGTCACTCCCTTCTGGCCTCCAAGGTTTCTGTTGAGAAATCAGCTGACAGTCACATGGGCTCTCCCTGGTAGGTAACTAATTGCTTTTCTCTTGCTGTTTTAAGATTCTCTCTCTGTCTTTAATCTTTGGCATTTTAATTATGATGTGTCTTGGTCAGGGCCTCTATTCATCTTGTTTGGGACTTTCTGTGCTTCCTGGACTTGTATGTCTATTTCTTTCACCAGGTAAGGGATGTTTTCTTTTTCTTTTTTTAAATATATCTTTATTGGTTTCAGGGAGAGGAAAAGAGAGGGAGAGAGAGAAATGGAAACATCAATGATGAGAGAGTCATTGATCAAGCCCACAACCGGGACATGTGCCCTGACCGGGAATCGAACCCTGATCGCCTGGATCCTAGGTCGATGCTCAACCGCTGAGCCATACCCGGCTGGGCAGGGATGTTTTCTGTCATTATTTTTCAGATAAGTTTTCAATTTCTTGCTCCCTCCTTTCTCCTTCCATTACCCCCATGCTTCGAATGTTGTTATGCTTGAAGTTGTCCCAGAGGCTCCTTACACTGTCTTCACATTTTTTAATTCATAGTTGTTTTTGCTGTTCTTATTGGGTGTTTTTTGCTTCCTCGTATTCCAAATCGCTAATTTGATTCTTCGAGTCCTCTACTCTACTGTTAATTCCCTGTAAATTATTCTTCATTTCAGTCAGTATATCCTTCATTTATGACTAGTTCTTTTTTATGCTTCCCTAGTCCTTTTTTATGCTGTTAAAGTTCTCACTAAGTTACTTGAGCATCCTTATAACCATTGTTTTGAACTCTGTATCTGGTAGTCTGTTTCCTTCCATTTTGTTTCATTCTTTTTCTGGAGATTTCTCCTTTTCTTTCATTTGCAACATGTTTCTTTGTCTCTGCATTTTGGTTGCTTCTCTGTACTTCCCTGGATTAAGTAGAGCTGCTGTGTCTCCCAGACTTGGTAGTAGGTATCCTGTAGGGTCTAATGGCACAGCCTCCCAGTCACCTGAGCTGGGAACTCTAGGTGTGTCCCTATGTGGGCTGTGGGTACTGTTCTGTTGTAGTTTAGCTCTTATTTTTATTGTTGTCACTGGGAAGGATTGATCCTCAGGCCAGTTGGTTGTAAGGACCAGCTGTGATTACAGCTGAAGAGCTGCTGTGTGAGAGCCAACCCTGTGGAGCAGGACTTGCTTCACTGGGGCTTTGGTGCTCACCCAGTGTGCCGCTTGTGTGTGTCACTCATGGAGGTGGTAGGATTGTAATCTGGTGTGGTCTGAAGCTGTCCACTGGCTGCACTGGTTCTGGAGCCTCCCAGGAGATACAAAGTCAGCCTCTGTTTGTGCCCTGCCTGGAGGTACAGGCATGAGCTACAGAGTGATCTGCAGGTGGCTAGTGCTTGTGATGGGCTTATAGGTACACAGGAGAGGCCAAGCTATGAACCAAAGCAGGCCTCCACTAATGCTGGGCCTGGGGCCACATAGCAAGAGGTGTGGGGCACACTGAGGCTAGCTGCTGCTTGTTTGAGAGATTTTTAGAAAAGTCTGAAGCATGAGGCAAGAGAGGCCAGTTGTATGAAAAAGCCACTGGAAATGGCTTGGATGAGCCTGCAAGTTGGGTGCAGTGGGGCCTCAGGGAATCACCAGGGCAGGGCAAACATTGTGACCCAAGTTCATAGAGACTCAGATATCACCTGCCTTCCAGCTCTGTGGGGAGAGATCCCAGAAAAGGAATAATGGCCTCTGCCAGCACTTCTTTCTGGGAGAAAGCTGAGCCAACCCCTTCTTACCCCC